TGTGGGTACTGCATTCACATGGTACACTTTCATACATATACTCATACATATAAAATAAAAATAAATACATCTTTGGGGGCTGTAGAGCTGGTTCAGTTGTTAACAGTGCTAGATACTCTGGCAGAAAACTCAGGTTCAGTTTCCAGCAGCACACAGTGGTTCACAACCATCTGTAATTCCACTTTTTTTTTCATTTTTCGAGACAGGGTTTCTCTGTAGCTTTGGTGCCGGTCCTGGAACTAGCTCTTGTAGACCAGGCTGGCCTCGAACTCACAGAGATCCGCCTGCCTCTGCCTCCCGAGTGCTGGGATTAAAGGCGTACACCACCACCGCCCGGTTTGTAATTCCACTTCTGTGGGCTGCAACCCCTCTTCTGGCCTCTATGGGCACCAGGCACACATATAGTGCATAGATATACATATAGGCAAACACTTGTATACCTAAAACAGAAGTAAATAAGTCTTTCTTTGAAAGTTTGTTACAACTGGGTGCCTTGTTGTGTCCCTAATTTAGTACTTGGGAAATAGAAGCATGAGGATTGCCCCAAGTCTGAGGCCAGCCTGATCTCCACAGTAGAATCTAAGTCAGCTGGGAATGTAATAGTGAGACCTGTTTCAGGAAAAATAAAAGAGTATGCTTCACAAAAAGGTGCTACTTAATATAAATATTGTGCTTTGTACATGACAGATGACTCTGACAAGCACTTAAAGTTTTCTACAGGATTGTATTCCATATCTGAAAAACAAATCTAAATAACTAAAAAACTAAATCTTATTGGTTAATATATATATGATGTTCCTGGAGTTTGGGGCCAGCCTAACTACATGAGATCTTGTCTTAGAAAAACAAATAAATCCTGACTCTAATTCTGTTTTGTTTTCCCAGAAAGATCCTCTATTATCGCAAGCCTGTGTTGGCTGTCTGGAAGCCTTGCTGGACTACTTGCATGCCAGGAGCCCAGACATTGGTAGAAACCTTCCTTATTCTCTCATTGTCCATGATCAAGATGGGAGGGAATCAACCCATCATTACTGCTTCAGTGCTCTGACAACCATGCAGAGGACTCTATATGCCCATTGTAAGATGTGGGCACTGAGCACCAGAGTGTTCAAGTGATCTGCCTAACCGTGGTCACAGTGCTCTTAAGTAGCAGAGACTTTCTAGTTGTCTACCTCTCATAGTTATGGGATAGACTGTTTTACTGAGAGTCCAGATAGGTGGGTAGAAGTCGAGGCAAGAGACCTCATGAACCCAGCCTGTTTTAAGCCAATAGGAGAAACTCCTCTTTGGGCATGCTCCCGGGTCTCTGGAAGGACAGCATTAACCACGGGGACTGATGTTTCTTACAGCACTCCATGTGGCCTCCCAGCCCTGGAATCGGTTTTTGCTGTTCACCCTCTTGGATGCTGGAGAGAATTCCTTCCTTAGACCTGAGATACTGAGACTTATGACCGTGGTAAGTGCAGACAGGATAGCCCTATGGTTGGAAGATACCAGCAGGGTGTTGCTAAAGAAGTTCAAAACACAAAGGTACTTTAGGTGACCCTAATCTTTAAGGAGCAGTTGTAAGCCTTCTCCCTACAAGAGACCTGCCCAGGGATTGCCTGTGAGTAGCTACAGCTAACCTTAGGACACATTTTCTCTTACTTCTTTAATGAAACGATGGCCAAGGTCTTTTGCCACATGACAGGTCTAAGTACTAAGGATGTCCCAGAGTCACATACTCTGCCTCCAGAGGTCCCTTATTCTAGAAAATGAGAAAGACAAGTAAATGAATAGTTAAGTTTGATACTTTGAGTGACAGAGTATTTGGCACATTAATAATTCTTGCTGAATGAAGAACAAAGGAACAAGCTCATGGCTGACAGTGAAGCTCACCCACAAATAAACCAGAGGTGAAAACACGAAGAGAATTAATTGCTTTTGTGAAGTGTAAGTAATGTGTCAGCCAAAGCTTAAAGGAGCAATAGGCAGAAGGAGACAGTATTTTAGGAAGTGAGGTGGGAGTAGAAGGGTCAAGAGCACATAGGGAGGTTACAGGAACCACACTCAGTCCATCTTGGCCATGAGTTTGCAGTGCAAGGCTGAGGGAAGGAGCCTGATGAAGAAGTCACTAAGGCCAGCTCTCTCTGGATCTCAATCTACCTCATTTGCCCTGTTCCCCTGTGAGACAACCCCACCCATTCTCACCAGTGCAGCCCTTAAAAACAGGACTCTGGACTTGAGAATGGTGTCCCCTGCTCAGTGCTGGGCACAGCAGTGCACAGAAACAGCATCTCTTCTAATTATGGACTTTTGGGGCTTTTCTCCTGGGCTAGTTTGTGCAGTACCGGAGCAACAACATCCTCTCTCGTGAAGAGGTGGGTCTTATTTTGCAAGCTGAAGCACTGGCTGACCTGTCAACTCTCCCAAATGATACCCTCCAGGCTCTGCGTGGCTTCTTCCTGCAGGTGAGTGGAAAAAGGATAGTATACAGCTGTATAAGGCTAGACCCTCAAGACCATCTTCTCTGTGGCGAGTGGAAGCTCTGGCCACTTAAGCCACTGGGAAGTCAAGAATATGAGTGGTGGGGGACAGTTAGAGAGGGCCTGTCTCTCCTGTCCCTTCTCCTGCAGGTCCAGAGTGTGGGTCTCCTGACTGACCACAACAAAATCCAGACCTTGCAGGCCTCCTTGGAGAGACTTTGTTCCAGGACCTTCCCAACCCAGCCAGCCCTTCAAGACATGCTGTATCCTTTCTTGCATCTGGGTGGGCGCTGTGGCCTGGGCAACATCTCCAAGGCCATGGAGGCTGTAGCAGTATTCTTTCCCCTAGTTCAAGTAGGGAGGGCTGGTAAGTTCCTAAGAAAGCTGGGATTGAGACACGGTAATACATACCTGTAAATCTCAGTGCACAGGAAGCTGAGGCAAGAGGATCTTAAATTTTTATGCCAGCCTAGGCTACATAACAATACTTTATTTACTGATTGATTTTTTTTTCAAGACAAGGTTTCTCTGTAGCTTTGGTTCCTGTCCTGGAACTAGCTCTTGTAGACCAGGCTGGCCTCTAACTCACAGAGATCCACCTGCCTCTGCCTCCCGAGTGCTGGGATTAAAGGCGTGCGCCACCACTGCCCGGCTTAACAATACCTTATCTCAAAGAGAGAGACAGAGACAGAGAGATAGAGAGACAGAGACAGATGGAGAGAGGGAGGTAAGGAGGAGAGAGAGAGAGAGAGAGAGAGAGAGAGAGAGAGAGAGAGAGTTAGTTACCAGGCACTGGTAATGCACACCTCTAATCCCAGGACTCAGGAAGAGGCAGGCGGAGACTAGCCTGGTCTACAAAGTGAGTTCCTGGGTAGCCAGGGCTGTTATAGAGAAACTGTGTCTTGAAAAACATGGGAGGGAGGAGGAGGAGGAGAAGTAAAAAGAGGGGGGACGACTGGCTGTCCTGGTGGCCACAGTCCTCTAGGTTGTGATGTGCTGGAGACATTATAGTGCCTGTGTGTGTGTGTGTGTGTGTGTGTGTGTGTGTGTGTGTGTGTGTGTAGGAGGACTACTTCTCCATTTTAGAAGCACCCATGCTCTTTTTAAGACATAATTTACTTCTACTTTATGTACATTGGGGTTTTACCTGCATGTATGTATTGTGAGGGTGTATTCCCTGGAACTGGAGTTACAGATAGTTGAGAACCATCATGTGGGTCCTCTGGAAGAACATCCAGTGCTCCTAACCACTGAGCTGTCTTTCCAGCCCCACATCCATGCTCTTGTCCGACCGTTCCTGCCCTTTGGGGTTCTGGAGGTGTGAGATTCCCTTCCCTACGCCTTTAGCTCCATTTCTCTCCTATTCTCCTCTCATGCTTCCTGCCAGCTGCCTTGGAGGTGTGTCAGTTTCCCTGTCCCACATCAGAGACTGAGCTCTAAGGACACGAAGGCCCAGACACGGAAAGAAGGGAGACCTGTAGAAGAATTCAGGACAGTTGTTGATGGAAAAATGTCAATCTCAGTCCTTCGCCAGGAGCCATTTACTCCACTGTGAAAATGGAATCCTGAAATAAAGCAATGAGTTCACATTCCTGTGTGGGCTTTCTTTCTGAACTCACCTTTCTGAAAGTTGTTCCTCAGCTGTCAGTCGGACACTGGGTTTTAACAAAGGTGGAGAGGGGCGGAGTGGAGACGGCATTTAAGGAGCCTGTGCAAAGTGCCTCATAGTAGATGTGCATAGAGAACGAGAGGACCCTGAGCTGGGAGGGCAGAGCAAGGGCTTGTGATTGGAACTCTGAGGGTGTCTTTCCCTCGAGTGGTCATAGGGAGAGGTATAAATCTCAGGCAAAGGCAATCAAACCCTCAGCCTGCCTTGCTGAGCAAATCTGCCTCAGTTCCCCTGGCTCAAGCCCACATGGGTAGTGATCTTTTAACAGCTACCCGTCGCTGGCTGCTGGCAGACAACTCTGCCCACACCTGTTTATCAGCCCAGCCTGGGCCTCTGCGCTCTAACTGACCGCTCCACCTGTCTTCCCGGATCTAGCTGTCCTGACACCCTCCCCGACCCCTACCCCCCCCCCCCCCCCAGCAAAACTGAAAATGTATGACCAGACAGAGCGCTCTGATTTAGAAATTGGTGGACTGGAGCGGCAAGTAGTGGGTGCCCGCGTTCCGCACTAAGAGTTCTGCTAGTTCTTCCAAAAGTTCTCTGGATCTTGTGAACTGCGGTTTAAAGAAGACTCAGATGAGACATCAAGCATCACACTTGCAGCGCCTGGGCAGCCAGGGTTTCGGGCCTGGGCTTGCTGACGCGCTTTAAGCAAGGTAAAGCCCCCACCGCAGCTTAGCTTAGCTTCCTCTAACTCGACCAGAAATGAGATCTGCCGCGCCGAGGGACGCCTTCGACCGGACCACGCCGGGGCTGACAGCTGTCGTGACAAGCACCGGAGCCCGCCGGGGGCGGGGCCGGAAGTGAGGTCAGCGGCGCGCGGCGGTCGCGGCCCGATCTCATTGGTCCGTAGCAGCGCAGTGGGTGGGACGGTGGTCGGTCTTGGTGCCGGCGGGCCAGGTGCTCTTAGAGTTCCGCGCTTTCGCCCGAGTTGCCTGCGTCTGGGAGTTGAGCTGCACGCCGAGGGGCTGCCGTCATCTCCTTGCACCGCCGGCCCGGGTAGGTGGTGGCGGGGGTGCCGGGCTGTGGTGTCGGCTTCTTGGGAGGGGAGTGCGGAACCCACCGCCCTGCGTCCGGGTTTCGAGCCTCTTACATGGGCTCGCTAGCCCTAACGTACCAACGGCCGGCCGCTACCACTGGCTCTTCTAAACAAGTTCAGAGAGGCTTGCAGAGTCCAGGGACGCGTGGGACAGAAGCGAGGTTTCGAGGCCGAATAGTAGAGTTACAGTAAAGAAACCCAGACTTGTCCCCACAGTCCGCTCCTTTCTTTCCCTTCCTCACGTTTGTCCTGCTCGAGTTATCTTAGTTTGTCTGGTAAATTTCTGTTTACCTAAGTTTTGCTGTGGCCTGATTCAGGTTCCCTAGGGTCCTGGAACGTGAAGCAGGAGGTGGAGGGTCATGAATGATCTTAGAGTCCTTCTCTAGACTTCAGCTGCCCCATCTAGGAAGTCGGGGCAGAGGTTCTAACGGCCTCTGACTGAGCAATTCAAACTCTGGGTTGAGGTCGGGTGTGGCCAGCTTTGATATCAGGTGCCCTTTCCTTATTTAGAGACAAGAGACACTGAACTGAGAGTTGGACTTTTGGCTCAGTGTAGGAACAACTGTGAGGTTCTGGACAGACCTTTCAGTCGTTCATTCATTCGTTTGTTTATTTTTGTTCCCCAAATGGAAACATTAGTAAAACCGGGTATCTGAGTATGACGCCTCCCTTGACTTTCATCTTCCACCCATTATTCTATCCATTTTGGAGTTTTAGACACGATCTCACCATGTACCCTAGAATAGCCTCAAACTTAAGGAAGTTCTCCTGCCTCAGCCTCCCAAGTGATAGGCTTAAAGTCATGAGCCACTACTCCTGGCCCCCACTTACCAATGTTGTACCTGATCAGCTTCTTCTCATGATTTTCTTTTTAAATTGTGTATGTGTTCATGTGTGGACACTTCTGTGCGTGTGCATGTAGAGACCAGAGGCCAATATCAAATATCTTCCTTAATTGTCCTCTACCCTATTTGTTGAGACAGTGTCTGTCACTGAACCTGGGCTCCTAGATTCAGCCAGACTAGTTGAGTCCCAGGGGTCGTTCTGTCTCCAGCTCTAGACCACAAACATGCACTGTGCCCAGTGTGTACGTAGATGCTAGGGATTGAACTCAAAACTTCATGGTTCCAACTTTACCAATCGAATCATCTCCCTAGCCCTGTCTTTTTTTTTTTTTTAAGTATATTTGCTTGTATGTTTGTTCTGATGTTGGAAGAAGTTGGAGAAGGAGGGAACCCACACAAGTTTTACATGTTTTTTCACTGCCTGAGAGTTCCTGGTTGGTACCCTCTTAGGAGGCTAGGGCAGGGAACTAGAGGAGAGCTATTGACCAGCCCCTTCCTCCATACATAGTACATCATCCAGACCTGCCTCTGCATCAGGAAAGAGACCTCCTAAGTCCTGCTTTACAAGTAGAGAGCTGGGACAATTGCCCAGTTATAAAGGCAGATGTTCTCACACTCCATCCTAGAGCTCTGGCCTCAGTCGCCCCATCCAGTATTGTAAGCATTGCCAAGTCCCTCTTCCTGTCTTTCTCCTGCAGTCCTATAGACCTGTACTGTGTGTGTGCTAGTCACCAGTCCTGGCTAGATCTTCAGGGCTTCCCAAAGCTGAATTCTTGGCATTTGGAGGTTGGCCATGTCTGAGGGAGTTGCTTTTCACTGAACTCACTCGTCTTCTCTGGTTTACCCCTGCAGCTCCAGAGTCTCAGACATGGACCTTCTTCAGTTCCTCGTGTCTGTCTTTGTCCTACTGTTGTCCGGCACAGAAGTCACAGGCACCCTAAAGACCACCGTGGACCCCAGCCTTAAGATCTGTATCTCTTTGGGGATTGGGTGGGGTAAATGAGATCTCTCAGTGCCCGTAACTTCTTAGGGGAATCCCAGGAATGAGCAGAGTTGGGGAAGAATGGGAGGGAGGAGGAAGCAAGCTCTAACCAGACTATGAGCAAGTCAGTTTTCTCCTGAGCTGGTTCCCCATATGTTAACTGAAGTTTAGGCCCATCTCTCAGCTCTGCAAATGAGGGGTGTTCATGTGTAGCGCCTGGCTGGTGAGACCCCAGGCAGGTCCTCCAGAACTCAGAATTGCTAGCTTATCTTAACACTGGTTCTCTGAGCCATGTCTTGGCAACACAAGGACAAGACCATCCCTGGTTTTTTGAGGCATTCACAGAACTAGAAGGAGAAACATGTGCGTTAGTTACTGTTGCTGTGAAGAGAAACCATGACCAAGGCTGCATTTGATTGAGAGCTTGCTTACAGTTTCAGAGGGTTAGTCCTTGATCATCATGGTGGGAAGACAGGCAGCCATGGTACTGGAACAGTAGCTAAGACCTTATATCCTTGTCTATAGGCAGGAGGCAGAGAGAAAGAGAGACTGTGCTTGGTGTGAGCTTCATCTCCAGTGATACACCTCCAACAAGGTCACACTTCCACCTCCTAATCCTTCCTAAAGGGTCTAACAAACTGGGAACCAAACATTTAAATACGAACCTATGGGGGCCATTCTCATTTAAACCACCAGAACATCCAAGTGGATAGCCTTGATTCTCTGAATCGAGGCTCTGGTGGATACTGGAGGTCTTGGGAGAAGCACTGTACTGTGAACCTTCTTTCTGAGCAAGGTCTTGATAGAAGCACCAGGAAAATAGTGGGGGCATCTCGGGATGAAGTTATAGGTTAAGCGGATTGCTGGAGGTCCTGGAATAATGAATGATTGTGAGAGACGACAGGAAGACACAGAGATGGGAGGGTAGTGCCAGGTCTTGGAGTGTTGGCTTTCGGTTCTTTTCTGGGTATGGAGTCTCTGAGATCTGGAGAAATGGTACATTACAGGACCTATATACTTCACAGGCAGCCCACCTCTTCCCAGGGGCATCCCAGCCATGGCCATCCAAGGCTTTTAATAGCATGGGTCAGAAAGGGGCCCCTGAGTCAGGGCCATCAGGTTGTCCGGGTAGGTGTTATCTGCTAGTCCCTTAACTTAATGGTGCTCAGACAAGAAGATGTTTGAGGTGAAACGGCGGGAGCAGTTATTGGCACTGAAGAACCTGGCCCAGCTGAACGACATTCACCAGCAGTACAAGATTCTTGATGTCATGCTTAAGGGACTCTTTAAGGTGTGTCAGGGAACAGGGCAGCTCCCAGCAGGGCAAGGCTTTGATTTGTGCTGACAGAGTTCTCTGCGGGGGTAGTGTTCAATGAGGAAGTGACTGTATATGCGGAAGAGTGGGAGCGACGTTCAGGTAACTGGGGCTGGAGCTAGGTTGTGAAGGTCTCCCCAGAGCCACTTAGCATACATGGGGTTCCTGCAGGTGCTGGAGGACTCCCGGACAGTACTCACCACAGCCAATGTGCTCCCCGACGGGCCCTTCCCCCAGGACGAGAAGCTGAAGGACGGTATGGTCTCCCCAGCACTTGGCTTTGCTGCCTGCCACCCTGGTATTCTCTAGCTGGTCCTTCTCTGTTCTCGTCATTTGTCCCCTGGGGATATCCTCAATGTGTGCCTGAGTAGTTGGCCTGGGGTGGATAAGGGCCTCGTCTGTGGTGCTCTAAGCATTCCTGGGGTCCAGAGCCAGTTTCTCTGCCCTTGCACGTATTCCCTTATGTTGTCCTGTGCTTAGGACAGGGAAACCAGAAAAGAATCTCTGCCCTCCTCACCCAGGGACTGGATAGAGTCTGCCAGCTACTTTTTGGGAGGGCAGGTTTCTGTTGGAAGGTGAAATGGCCGAGGTTTGTGAGATAGCTGAGTCAGAGTGTGATTGCCAGCACTCTTAGCTTCTATAGTAAAATACACAAGCTCCTTAAATCCCTTTTTAGACAAGGGGAGAAAAGTGAGTAAGATGAAAGAATGTCTCACATTCCTTTGTCCCCTCTCGCAAGAACGTCTCTTCAGTGGCGGTCCCTCCTCACTCATGCCTACCAACAGATGACATTTTTGTTTCTTCTTACTATGTAACCGTGACTGTCCTAGAACTTGATGTGTAGACCAAGTTGGCTTCAAATGCATTGTGATCCACCTGCCTCTGCCTCCCAAGTGCTGGGGTTAAAGGCCTGGCCTCACCAGTCCTGAGAGTCACTGAGAGGAGGGAACAGTTCATGCGTAGGAACGATGACTGTTACAGCGGCCACCCCTCATGCCTGGGAGTTGCTTCTCTTCTCCAATTGGCAGAGAACAAGTCATTTGCCTTTGCTCTTCTCTCTGAGCATCAAGATTATTCTGAAGTCTATGGGTCCATGTCCCACATGCCAGCCCGGCAGATCTTTGGCTTCTTCTTGCCTCCCTGTGATGCCCAGCCAGTGCTAGGCCGGGCTCTCCAGTTCCTCTCTGCTCGAGGAGTGAAGAGATGGCTACTCTTTGTTGTGAACATTCTAATTACATCCCAGTGTAAACTGATCTGTTGGTCTCATTTGTGGGAAAACTGACCAAATTCAAATGACAAATAGTTGTGGGTAAGTATTGCTAATTTCCTGATTTAGATACAGTGATCTAGGACCATGGCATTAGAGGTATGTGATTGAGGTTCCCTCTTCCCAGATGACTCTAGCTTATGTCAAGTTGAAAAAAAAAAAAAAAGAATCCAACAACAAATAAAACAAGCACCTAACCAACACAGTCTGTAAAACAGGAACAGCCATTGTCTCTCCCTCCAAATTCCATCAATGGGGACTTGAGAGGGTCTTACTGCATATTGCACATGCAGTGAACAGCCTGTGATCAATGGGTGCCGACCCTTCTCTGGTTGGGGGATTTGGTAAGTGCCTCCATTCCTGGAGGAGGTCTGGGGCCATCTGGGTGGACAAGAGGAGAACAACTACCCTGATGACTCACTTAGAGCCTCCTGCCAGCTTTCTCGCACGTGGTGGAGAACACAGCCTTCTTTGGTGATGTGGTGCTGCGCTTCCCAAAGATCGTGCACTACTACTTTGACCGTAATTCCAACTGGAACCTCCTCATCCGGTGGGGCATCAGCTTCTGCAACCAGACAGGTGTCTTTGACCAGGGGCCCCACTCACCCATCCTCAACCTGGTAAGGACTAGTAAGAAGGCTGGGAACCCTGTCAAGTGGTGGGCTGGGAGCCTCGCATCTGTCTGTGGTTGGCCCTGTCAGTTATCTTAGGTTGTGAATGTTTAGTTACATTTGTTTGTGTGTCTCAGAGCACTTTGGGTCATAGAGGCTTAATTCAAGGGGTTCTGTGCTGACTTGGAGGGTCCCTAGGGATTGTTTCTGGCCCACATCAGGGCCTGAGTTTGAGGCTTAAGTCCATGCATAGTGGGAATGGCTGGTAACCAGGGAACAGAAGGCAGAAGAGGGTTACTAGTTTTTTCATCCACAGATGGCCCAGGAGCTGGGGATCACTGAAAAAGACTCTGACTTCCAGAACCCGTTTAGAATGGACCGGACAGAGGTGAGCTGCTGGGTCCTGTGACTGCTTTGTGTCTGATGGGCGTGGGAGACTGGGTCTGCAGGGCTAAGGCCTAGGGTAGACTGTGAGAGCTTTAAACTTGTAAGTGGATACCCCAGTGAATACAGGTCCAGAAATCATTACTCAAGTCACTGAAGGTTTTGGCAAGTCATCATTCCTCTCTGAATATGTACCATAGCTGAGGATGGAGTAGAGATTGGGGGACGGTGGGATTCCTGCGGCTATGAGCATCTTTATCTCATTGCACAGTACGTACCCCAAGTTGTGAATGTCAGAATGACCAGGTGAGGTCAGATGATGTTCCCAGCTTTGAGCCTGTGGTTCTGGTACACTGGGGCTTCTGTTCTCACTCCTACACATGCCTTTCATCTAGAGTTCTAAAGTTGGCTTTGGGGGCTAACAGCTGCAGTTTGAGAAGACAGATGGTGACACATACAGGGAAGAAGGGACCAGAGGGAGCAGGGCAGGGCCAAGAAGGACGGGAAGGAAGGGTCCCTCCTATGCCTAGGAAACGAGGACTGACGCCTGTGCAGAGGGTGTGGAGTCTGACAGGTCCAAGGCTGTACCTGCTTGCAGACTGACAAAGTAGCCTGCTACTGTTTATAGATGCTGGCAGGTCACAGATGCTCTTCAGTGCAGCAAAAGCAGTAGCTTGACTGTTGGGCTATCGTCTTGGGTACCCTGTTCTTCCAGATCTTTACATGGAAGGCCGGGCAGATGCTGTGTGTGTAGTGGGTTTGCATTATGCCTGCAGACCTCAATGCTTGGAAAGTTTGCCATCTTTCTTCACAGTGAATTGACTAGATCTGTGCATTATCCAGGGAAAGATACTCATCCTTCCAAGATTAGTCTCTCTGCAAAAATAATCCTGAGAAACGCTCTGGGTAAAGTTGCTAGCAGGGAGGTGCGATCCTCACCTATAACCCCAGCGCTCAGGAGGCTGGAGCAAGAGGCCACCTTGGCTGTCTACTGAATCTGAGGCCAGCCTGACCTAAAACTGCCTTAAAACAAAACAAAATTAATCAAACAAAAGAACTTCCCAGATTTTGCATTATTAGTGTCCTCAGCAAGAACACAGGAAGGTGCCCAGCACCCTCGCAAATGGTGTACTCCATAGCCTACTGCCTGGTTAATCTGACCGAGAGGCGAGGACCAAATCTGTTCAGTTTGTTTCATGTCATTTATTGAGGCTGCAGATACTGCTGTTTGATTGTTTGGTTTGGGTTTTGAGACAGTCTTGCTCTGTAACCTCAGTTGACCTTGAACTTTCCACATTTCTGCCTTAGCTGAGATTACAGGCACAAGCCACCATAGCTAGCTAGTCTGAGTACTAGGGCAAAGCCAACCTGCAGAACTGACTACAATTATGTTCTCTGGGTCCTTGACTCAACCCAGACTTAAATATTGGGGGGACTAGTGAGTCTTATTTTGAATCATCAGAATATCATCTAAAATCAATATATATTATCTGTTATATCCACCTAAAATTTAGATTTTTTTGTTTTTGTTTTTTTGTTTTTCGAGACAGGGTTTCTCTGTGGCTTTGGAGCCTGTCCTGGAACTAGCTCTGTAGACCAGGCTGGTCTCTAACTCACAGAGATCCGCCTGCCTCTGCCTCCCGAGTGCTGGGATTAAAGGCGTGCGCCACCATCGCCCGGCTTAAAATTTAGATTTTTACCTGCCAGTCTCATTGAATGTATTTGTTAATAATTATAGGAAGCAATAGATAGGCCCAAAGCAACAGTCATCCTCCGTGGAGAGATTCCTGTGGCCCTTTCTCTTCTGCTTTACACTTTTAAGTCTTCAGTACATTGAGGGTATTTAACTGCAGAATTTTAACCTCAGTTGCCTGTGTTGTATAACCCAAAGATACCTAGGCATTAGAAATAAAGATAGACCAGGTCATGTTGGCACACGCCTTTAATCTCAGTACTTGGGAGACAGAGGCAGGCAAATCTCTGTGTCCAAAGCCAGTCTGGTCCTCTGTTGAAGGAGCGGTGGGCTGCTTCCTGCCACTTGGCTCCTGGCCACCAGCTAGCTTTACCCAAAATAATTACACGGAAACTGTATTCTTTTAAACACTGCTTGGCCCATTAGCTCTAACCTCTTACTGGCTAATTCTCACATCTTGATTAACCCATTTCTAATAATCTGTGTAGCACCACGAGGTGGTGGCTTACCGGGAAGGATCTTAACCTGTGTCCATCTTGGAGAGGAGAGCTATAGCATCTGCCTGAATCTGCTTCTTTCTCCCAGCATTATGTTCTGTTTACTCTGTCTACCTAATTTTCTGTCCTATCAAAGGGCCAAGGCAGTTTCTTTATTAACCAATGAAAGTAACATATAGACACATGACTCTCCTCCATCACTGGTCTATAGAGTGAGTTCCAGGACCGTAGTGAGCTACAGTTACACAGAAAAGCTCTGTTAACAAACAAACAAACAAAAAAAGGAATAAAGGATAGTTTATCTGTGAGAGAAAAGCAGGTTTGTGTCATCCTTCATGGGTACATAGGTACTCTGAGGAGATCTCTGATGGTGTGAGACACAGACTGTGCCAGTTTGAGTGTTCCCATCATGGGGGTGGGAACTACACACCCTGTGATGGTTAGTGGCACCTGCCACTGTGTTCTCTGTGCCTTCTACAGTCTCAAGCCCTTCCTAGGTGCTCGAGTCATTGCTGAATTATTCATGTGTCCCATCTGAATGCCCATAATTTTTCTTTTCTCTATTCACCCCCTCTTTCACCTTGAGCCTTCAGAAGATTCAGATGTGAGTGGGACAAGGGAGTTTCTACAACATTATAGAGATCTGTTGGCCAATTGTGGTGGCACACATGTGATCCTAATTATAGAGACCTGTTGACCAGTTGTGGCGGCACACATGTGATCCCAGCTATTTGGGAGGCTGACAGGGATGATCACTTGAGCTCTGGAATTTGACACCAGCCTTGACACATGGGAAACGAGCTGTTAGCATTTGCTTCCAGTGGTCACAGATGTATTTAATTCCCCCAGCAACAAGTTGTATGTAAGAGCTTCCTTTGTCAACTCACTAGAGACCTGGTTTTTACTGGGAGTTGGTTTTATGAGTGCACTGTATCTAACTAGTACCCAAACTCCAAGCTGCTGTGAGGAAAGTTATCATAAACCATTTCGATTTCACAGACAGTTTGAGAACAGTGAACCACTTTTACTTATTTAGACTATGGTTCCCAGCTGCTAGTCAAGGGCCAACTTTAGACACGTGACTTTTAAAAGATAGCAGCCAGACCTGCAACTCCTTTCCTATGTTTCTCTGTTGTTTCCTTATTTGTTGAGACAGGGTCTCATGAAGTGCAGGCTAGCCTCAACTCCAGATTTGCTTGCTGGGATTCCAAGTGCAGGGACTACAGCCATATGCCACCACACATGGCCACACCTGCAACGTTTACTAATTTCTGTTCAGCACCTTAGTTTTTTAACCCAGCTGAACCACAGTGGACCATGCCTGGCTGTTTATATCTAGCAGAACCTCTGAGGTTCCTGTTTTATACAGAAAGGGTAGGGAATATGGTTTTCCCATCAAAGTAGCTACTACCCCTTTCCAGTGGTATACCCCTCAAGGCTGCTTTCTATCATCATAACCCTGATAAGTAGCCCTGACCAGACCTTGATTCTAGGTGTACTCAGTCAGCGCACTCAGGTGCTCAGGGTCTTGGAGAGATTCTTTCCACCACAAGGGGGCACCTAGGGAGATGCTAAATTTCTGCAAGTACTCGCAGTGTAAATCTTGTGTGCTTCTGTCACACAGGACGGTGTCAGAGTACTTTCAAGATAAATTTAGGGAAGCCAGGCAGTGGTGGTACACACCTTTAATCCCAGCACTTGAGAGACAGACAGGTGGATCTCTGTGAGTTCAAGGCCAACCTGATCTACAGAGCGAGTTCTAGGACAGGCTCCAAAGCTACAGAAAAACCCTGTTTTGAAAAACCAAAATAAATAAATTTAGTGTAACATTATAATATATAATATAATGTCATATAATATCATTATCATAATATAGTGTCTTAGACACTACTATAGGAGCAACATAATTTCTTCTTGTTGGTCAGGGATGATCCTGATAGTTTTCCCACCCTCCCCCCCCACTGGGGCTTGAACCTAGGGCTTTACGCATGCTATCCAAATGATCCCCAGCCTGTCTACTATTTTGTATTCAGCGAGAATATTCTCTTATGAGAGAAGAGTGGCAGCTATCTGGAGGTGCATGCAATGCCTGGTTGAATTAGTTCTAGTTAGTTGGGCATTCCACTAGCTGTGTGGCCTGTCTTTGAACCACTATTGGGATGTCCCCCTTTTCCCAGAGGCATGGCTGCATATGTGGCAGGTAGGTTAAGCCACAAGGTGGCACTCTTAGTTTGTTTTTAATGCCTACCTTGATCACACTTGTCCATTCACAGTCTGAGTTTTGGATACTTTTGTATTTTATAGTCTCATGTTCATTTTGTTCGTAGTGCACACTGAATGCTATTGTGAGGCTTTGTGTTTGGGACATAGTGTAGTACAGCACCCAATACCAGCATTGCATCTTTATGGAACATGCTGCCGTAGGTGACCACAAAGGAGGAGCACAAGAATAAATTAGCACAAAGCTGAAGAGAGGGTGCCAGCGAGGAGGAGGGTGCCCGTGAGGAGGCAGCCATGGAAGAGGTCCCCAGGGTAGTGGGAGCAGAGTTGGAGCAAATGAGACAAAGCAGACAGGGCTGGAAAGGGCATTCTGGGCCTAGGCCACAGCATGTGAAAAGGCCTGCCGGAGTGTCGTCATGGAAACCAGCCATCGGTTACAGAGACAAATAGACATAGAAATCCAAGTTTGATAGTTTTTTTAGCCACAGAGACCAACAGAAGCTTTGGGTTGAATGAGACTTGTGGAAAAGGATGGGAGGGAGGAGAGGCATGCCCTGGGATTGAAGCTGAAGTTGCCCCCAAATCCTTGTCCTTTCCCATCCCTGCCTGCCTGGAAGTCCCATCTCTTTCTCTTCTGGCCCACTTTGCTCCTGTGTGCTCCTCTCCTGGGGGACTGTTCCTTGTTCCCTAGTGGCAGCACCTGTAGTCTAGGATTCCTAGCTTGCTTTGCTCCTGAAGGGTGTCAGGCAGGTATTTCCAGACCCACACAGCTCCCTCTTTCTTGAAGAGACTATTTGTTTTCCAGTTCACACCTTAGCTGGCATTTGTCCCCCAGGCCTGGAATCTCTTGTCTTCCCTGTCTGCCTGTCAAGCTCCTGATTATCTCAAGATACAGTCAGCTTTTCCCAGAGCCCTCTCATTGGCTTCCTTGTCTGGGACTTCCTGGAGGCAGGGCCTTCTCTGGGACCTTCTTGTTTTACATTCTATGATTTCGCTGGGCGGAAACTCTTTGGTACTCCTAGACTAAATTAAATGACTCTGCTCATCTCAGTTCATTCCTAGCACTGACCCTTTCCAGAAGGCCCTGAGGGAAGAAGAAAAACGCCGGAAGAAGGAGGAGAAGCGGAAAGAGATCCGCAAAGGCCCAAGAATCTCAAGGTCCCAGTCCGAGTTGTAGCCCTGCAGCAGTTTGGGGCCTAAGGGTTCAGCAAGAGGCCAGTCAGAAGAGGCACAACCGTGTGGCTGTGGTGTAGCAACGTCTAGCACCATGGTGAGCAACAGCCAGTTCTAGATGGGGACTCTATGTTTTCTGGGTCTTCAGGAGCTGGGTCTGAGCCTCGACCAGAAAGACTGAGCCTCTGGAATCTTAGGGCACACCGAGGGGGACCTTGAGAGGACACAGTTCTGCAGACTGGATTTGTAGGGAAACTGTTAGGGGAGGCTGACTTAAGGGACTCCTGGTCTGGATCCTCTTGGTAAGTGAGGGCTGCAGGGCCAGGTGCTGCCCTTTGAGGAAGCAGTAGAACCTGGCTCTGAGTTACGGAAGGTGCCATGCTTGCAGCTGGCCTCCCTGTATTCCTGGGCTGCCTATCACCAGTCCAACAGCTCTCTGCAGAGCAACACTACAAGCCAGCAAATCCATTGGCCTCACCAAGCTGATGAAGAGGTTCTGAGGGTACCAGGAGCTCCTAGATGTCAAGACCAGCCTGGAGTATGTTTCTCCCTTATCAGGAGGGAGCCCCAGGCCTTTGCATTGCAGAGAAACGAGTCAGGTTTAGGCTTCTTCTTCACTCAGTGCTGCCCTTCATGAGGGACTAGTTTGGAGAGGGGACCCAGAAATGTCCTGGGAGGGTATTTATTTCAAGGAGACCTTAAAAGAACATGATCTCTATTCTCAGATAACTGGGGACAGTCATTGAGCTGGTTCAGGGGACAATCAACTTGTTCTCTCTACTGCTGAAAAATAGAGCTTGTGTGTGGGAAGAGGCCGTAGGAGACAGGTTACAGGAGACTGTGCTTTGTAATGGGGCTACTGTGAGCTGCAGTGATCAGACAGTGGGCTTCCCAGTTCAGGGTTCAAGCGGAGTCCCATAGCCACAGGGCAGGAAGCTATGGAAGGAGTTTAGGCCCTCAGAGGGCAGCCTGGTTTCTGTGAATCCCAAGGCACGTGGCTGCCTTGACTCTATTGAAATTACAACACCACCTCTTTGATCTTGCCAAGCCAGAATGTATCTCCTAAAGGCACAGAGACACCCACCATCCCTGTGTCATTCCCAGCCATCCCCTACCTTCCAAATAAAGTTTTCCTCTTACTGCTGACTGTGCTCACGAGACCTGAGTCATAGCCTGACTGATCCTGGCCTACTCTCTCTTCCCTGTGCTGTGCCTTCATTGGTAAAATAAATTTGATGGTGTCTGAATCCTCTGCCAAGCTCTAAACTATTTCCTTGGAGGCTGACTTTTCTACTGGCCAGCATAGCAAAGGGAAGCCATGTGTTAGGGAGATTTCATGGAAGATCCTGAGTAGCCTGCATCCCAATTCATTCAGGATTCTATTCAGGAAAAGTAAAGAAATGAGAAGTCACTGGGAGGAGGGCTGGAGAAATTTTCCCATCAGAAATGCTTGTCTCCCTTGTGAGGCAGAAGAAATACACAGCTGGCTCCAGAGACCTAGGCTGCATTCCCAGTCCTGTCCCTTCCAGCTGTTATGACCCAGCCCATTCCTGTGAGGTTTATAGATAATGGCACTAGGCCTATGAAAAGGGTGACATCTACCCTACATGTCAAAGCTGAGTGAGTGCTTGTGAGGGTCAGAGCCAGCCATGAGGGTCCTCCCTGTTCGTCTTTGCTGACTCTGCAAGGAAAATGTTTCTTCCTTTAACTGAGGGGAGAGCTTCTAAAGAACCAGGACAGCTTGGCTGGGAACCTGTCTTTCTTTTTGTTTTTGTTTGTCTCTTTTTGTGTCTTTGAGACAGGGTCTCACTATGTAGCTCTGGCTGCCTTGGAACTCACTCTGTAGGCTAGGCTGACCTCATAGAGATCCACATGCCCTTGCCTTCTGAGTGCTGGAATTAAAGGCATGTGTCACCATGACTGGTGGTGGGTAGGTGGGTGGGTGGATTTAGGAAACAAAAACACAAAACACTTGAGGGAGGGCACTGGCTTCTCCAGCTCACCCAGCAGCTGGGTTCAGTTTTGTGATAGTAGCTCTACCAATCGTGTGTTTAGGTAGTGGCAGTGTCAAGGTAACAAGAGTGTGTGTGTTTTCGAGTGGCCTGATGAGTGGCCATTGCTAGGGGTGCTCATGATGGCAACAGTGACAGTGTGGTCTTGGATTGTCCAGTCTTGTAAGTCCAGTCAATGGCACTCCTGGAGACTCTGGGAGCCCCTGAATTATCCCTTAAGGAAGGGCAGCTCAACAGTGGCACTGTTGACATTTTGGACTACTTTACTGTTGTGTGAGAAGACTATCCTGAGTGGTGTAGGATATTTAGCAGTACCCCTGGTCACCACGTACTAGATGCCAGTAGCAGTCCCGCGCTTAGGACAACTAAGAATATCTCCAGTCATTGCTAGATGTCTTTCCTTCCCTCCCCTCAGTCCTCCATTTTCTTCTGACCTCCCTAGTCATTGTCCAGATAGATGTTGAGGGCTTTTGGGGATGATCTACCAGGGTTATTTTATTTATTTTAAAGTTTATTTTATGTGCATTGGTGTGAAGGTGTCAGATCTGCTGGAACAGGAGTTACAGACAGTTGTGAACTGCCATGTGGGTGCTAGGAATTGAACCCTGGGCCCTCTGGAAGAGCAGCAGTGATCTTAACCACTGAGCCATCTCTCCAGCCCATTCTGGGTTATTTCTTGTTCCGAGCTCTGTCCTTGTCTGCTCTGTCTTCCCTCATCTCTTTAAATGAATAGGTATTTTGACCTAGCTTCCTGTCTCTGCTCTTTTCTTCTTGGACAGTCAAACCATCTGGACTTAAATCTGCCCTGCCACCCCTGACAACCATCATTACCTATGCTTCCACTCATTCCACTCATCAGCCAGAAAGCTTCCCAGAGGTAGTGACAGCTGAAAGATGATGGAGGAGGTGTGAGCGCAGAGCTCTTAGAGGAGTGGGAACTATTTCTGTAATGTACAGCAGCTACCCAACCCAGAGGGCGTACCGTGACATAACACTTAGACACTTCAGATGAACAGCTCAGGTCCCGGGGAGTAGTGTGACAGCCTGGCCTCCCAGTGGGAGCCGGCTGGAAGAGAAATTCAGTTATGTGGGCAAGGCTAGGAGATGTCGGCCCAGGTTTGGGCCCAGTGCAGTAACCATCTTGTTACCATTTATTGAATTTATTTATTTATATATTTATTTATTTATTTATTTTTGGTTCAAGACAAGGTTTCTCTGTGAAGCCCTGGCTGTCCTGGAACTCACTCTGTAGACCAGGCTAGCCGCAAACGCAGAGATTTGCCTGACTCTGCCTCCTGAGTGCTAGGATTAAAGGTGTGTGCTGATACTGCCTGGCTTAAAAAAGTATTAAGAGAAAAAACAAAAAAGACTATACACCTAGTTCTAAGACCAGCATGGACTGCATAAAACCTTGTCTGAAAAGAAAAGGAATGAGTCACAACCATTTCTACTGAGCCTTCATTTGTGTTTTCTCAGGCCTGTTGGCTAAGCATACACACATGTAAAGGACATAGAACTTACAGGAATTGAACTTGAGTCATTTAGTTTAGTAGCAGTCTTACTGGCCCCAGGCGAGAGTCTTGGCGTCACAAATCAGGCCCCTTGTTAGTGTCATCACACCTCTTTTCCTTGGTCACTTGTACCATTGTCTGTTATTTTATGTTCATTATTTTTATTTTTACACACACAAACACAGAGGTCCTTAGTGTAAGCCCCTTGGGGCCCGAGTGGCCAGGTTCTGTCTCCCAGATTACTGTAAGGACCTTAAAAGCAGTTTTCAGCTCCTGGAGAGACAGGTGGCCAAACTCTGCCCTAAAAAAAAAAAAGGAGAGAAGAAGCTGCAGTCCAAGATCAGGCCACAGAATCCCACCAGGAAACCTTTCCCCTCCAGCCAAGAAACCCTTTACAAAGTCCACCTCCTGCTCAGTTCTTTGCTGCTTCTCCCAGCCACACTCTTGTGTCTTTGCTAATAAACATCTTGTGTGAGGGTTGTTACCTTTCCCCTCAGAGCTGCAACACTTGTTCTGGGGAAGCCTTTCCTTCCATGCTGCAACATTTATACCTACAAGGTAAGAGCTGTGTGCTTGCTGCGGAAATCAAATAGATATGAAAATTACAAAGGTGGTCTTGTGCTACTTTCAAGATGGCAAAACTGAGGCTTAGCAACAGTTGCCTAACCAGCCCAGTTGCACAGAGTGGATTAATGGATCCACAAGTTTCTCCATACAGCCTGTATGTTCTTTAGTTCTGACCCCTAAAACAGCTGCCTCAGACTCACAGGAAGATTTTCCTATGTATGGCATGAAAGCCTTTTTTTTTTTCCTGTCAATAAATACACAGGTCTTTGTTTCTAATGTCCATTCGATGATCTGTTAAGGATGTCGTGGTATTTCACCGTGTGAAATTTACTTATATAGTGCCTTCCTGGGCTTCTTGATTTTCCCTAGTTACAAAGAACTCAGTGATGGATGTCTTGGTATGTGTGTTTGCTCAGCATTTCTTTGAACACTAATCTTTGCTTTGGAAGTTTGCACCTTTGTGTACTGTGCGACCACCTGTAAGATGATGCCCAGATGACTGCGGCGGTGGGGTGCTTCAGAATCCTGGGAGTCCCACCTCTAGAGACCATTGGTGGGCTTGGGCAAATGACCACCTTTAAAGGCCCTGAATAATCCTGAGGTTCTCCAGATCGAGGGCCAGTTGTAATATGTCGACACTGAGGCGATTCACCACCCTGTCAAGTCTTGGGTGGAATAAAGCCTGACCCGCCAGGCTGGGAGGCCTATCCCTAAGTGTTGGGGTACTATGAGTCTAACCAGGGCTGGGTGAGGGAGAGGCAACGGGGAAGATGACGTAATGTGCTCACCGCGTAAAGGGGGCTGTGGAAGGTGATGCCGGGCAGCTCTGCATTAACCCTTCTATTTCCGGACTCTCGACGAAGCCGCTTCTGGAGCTGATCCAACGGGAAAGTAGCGGCTCCTTTAAAGCAGAGGAAGGCTGGGTCGAGGGCCTGGCGGCTACTCTCCGCTGGCGCTGGGAGGCCGCGAGGGGCGGAGCCTCGCTATGCAAATCTGAGCTGCTGATCGATGACGCGCCATCACCCCACGAGCCGCTTCGCGCGCCCATTGGCTAAGGGGAGCCTGGTCCCATTGACAACAAACATGGGGGCTCGGGGGGGGGGGGGGGGGGGGGCTGGGGGCGGGGCTGCGGTGGGCGCGGCACAGGGCGGGGCACCCCGCCCCTTCCGTGGAGTCGGGGCGCAGCTCAAACATGGCGGCGGCTGGCACGGGCCGGTGAGGCGGTACCAGGTGGGGGCTGTCGGGTGTCATGGGCGGTGGCGGCGGCACCGCCTCCGCGTCTCCCTGAGTCGGACCTCACGGGGGACTCTGCGCCAAGCCGGGCGATGGACGAGAGCGGCGAGCTGGGCGGTCCGGAGACCATGGACACCCTGACGGAGCTGGGCGACGAGCTGACTCTGGGGGACATCGATGGTGAGCAGCGGCTGGGTGGGAATGCGGGGGCCGCGCGGGGAGGAAGGGGTTACGGCGGCGCTGGCGGGTGCGCGTGCGCCCACCCCGCGACCGCCCCGGCGTGCGCGGGAAGGAACCCGCGGCCCGAGCTGCCCCGGCGGCTCCCGCTTCTTCTCCTTCGAAGCCTGAGCCCGGGCCGTGGCGCGGGGCTCCCGGAGGATGACGAGTCCTGGGTGCTGCGGGGCCTGAAGCGGGACTGGGGGCGTCGCGAGTGCTGCCGGAGGAGGAAGCCACGGCCGCCTCCCTCGCGCGCCCACACGCGCTCTGGTTTGTCCGGTCTCGGTCGCCGGCGTCCCTCGTCGCACCTGTCACTCCCTGCTTGGCCACTGGAGCGGCTTCGGGATTTCCCGGACTGGGCTCCTAGGCTCGGCTCCCCGCGCCCCTGCTCTTTTCGCGGTTGACTGACAGCCGGGTCTCCGGGCGCTCTGGAAAACTTTGGGCAACAGCTGCGAAAGCAAGTTACTGATGGAGCGGGCAGAGTACGGCGGCCTCGGATGGAGACCCGGGCGCTCCTGCTGCCGCTCTGCAAAGGGAGTTGAGCAGCAAGAATTTTGAGTTGTGGCCCCCTCGGGTACAGACTAGGGAGCGGGTGGCCTTTGTTTCGGCAGCCTTAACAGCGAAGTGGACAAACTGGTAGGAGCCCAGGGATCCTCTCTTGCAATTCTCTCCCTTTTCAG